TAATCATTTAGCAAAATAGCAACAGTAAGTTATTCCGTAGGGTCTGTGATCTCCTCTCATGGGCTTTTAATCAGGTGCATGGTACCAAGCACAAAATCCCTCCTATGGTGCTGGGCTCACATGCAGTCAAAAGACCATTGCTTTACCCCTATAACCATCACACCCATACTGCACCAGAGAGCGCGTGTTCCCAGCAGGTCAGTATTGTAGTATGCAGGGTCCTGTGCTGAGTAAGAACACTGATATTGTTACACACACGCACATGCACGCGCACGTAACCTACAGAGCACCTTCTGTTATTATGTAAAGTAGCCAGCAGGGAGAGTTTCCTGATCAGTCTGAGGTTGATTTCTCTCGGTCTGTCTTCTACAGTGAATGATGTCTTCAGCAGTATGGTCTTACCATGTAGTTATGATGGACAGCCAAGAGCAATGGCAATAGCCTGTGTAGTTTTGGGGACTTTGAGGCCTTCCCGATGAAAACCTTGTAGAGAGGTAGCCCGTGTTTGGCCCTGAAATTTTCATTTAATAACCCATATATTCTAGAAGCAGCGTTGTCCACCCATGTAGGGTACTTGTGTTCAAACTCCTTTACCAAATGAGTATTAGGACCTTTCATGGATCCTTAGTTTAGGGTAACCCATCCCCTATACTCTTCTATCCTCAATCCCCCTTGCTCCGCTCAGGGTGTTTCTCCTCTCTCCTTACATGACACTTGCATTCTCTTATCTACACCAACCTCATTCCCTCATCCTCCCATCCCCCTCCACACTTGGACCTTTCCTCAAATCTCCCAGTGTTCCTGCTTTTTACTTTCATTTTGTCTGTTTTCCTATTCCCTCTCTCTTGAAGCTTGCACTCCTATCTAGTGGTCTGCTTCTGGTTTCCTGGCTTCCACCAGCAGGTTAAACACACTAAACACGAAGATCCGAAGCTAGGATCTGCATATGAGAGAGAATATGTGCTTGTTGTCTTTAGCCTAGGTGAGCCCTACCCCACATAATTAGACAATGCGACTTTTAGATGTGGTCCTAGTCTGCTTTGTGTTGTTATAACTGAAAGATACAGACAGGGTAATCTATAAAGGGTTAAAGTTTGCTCTGCTCACAGCTCTGAAGGCTGGAAGGCCAGGCTTGGAGGGCCATAACTAATGAGGCCTTCCTGCTGGTGGGGACTTTGCAGAACCCCAAGGCTGTGCAAAGATCACACGGGATCTCTCTTCCTGAGAAAGCCACTAATCCCGTTATGGGGGCCCCATTCTCCTAACTTAAACTAATCTTAACTACTTTCAACATTATTACCATATGCCTTTGAGGGTTAGGTTTCAGCATGGGTTTGGGCAGGTATGAACACTCCAAAGGTAGGAAACATAGAAGATGATATTAGTGTTAGAAATGGTTCATCTTTGACTTAGTTACAAGGGGATATGGACAGACTCCTTAAGAACATAACCTTTCAATGTATCTCATAAAGTCCTAGGGTGTTTATTAAGGTAGCTTATTTTGGGGGTTTTATTTTGGGGTGTGGTGCTGGAGACTGAACCCAGTCCCTCTGCATACTAAGCATTCATTCCACCTCTGAGCTATATCTCAGTTCTATAATAAAGTCGTAAGGGTTTCCCTCAAAAACATAATTAACCCTGCATTAAAAACCAAATTGAGTCAGACATAGCAAGATTTTCATAGCAGTGCAATTTATTTCACTTGGGAACTGTGTCGTTACAAGAGCAATTTCGCCGTCTCATCTTTCGATGATGTAAAGCAATATTTGCCTGATTTGATGAAGAAGGGTAAAAATTTTCTCCAACTTTCATCCCTGAGAGTATCTGAGGGCATTTATAGAGTTTCTCGTGTACGCACGTCTCTGTGATCAACATTTCACAGAAAATGCCCCTACAGAAAAAGGTTCTGGCTTCAGCCTGGGCCACAATTCTTTCTGTGATCCAATCTGTGAGCCAAGTTTCCAGGTCGCCCTGTCACAGCCAGCCCACGTCCGGTGGATCAGCCAATCACAGGCCAGTCTCACCCACATCCCTTGTTCTCTTAGGAGGAGGAATGGAAAAGCAAGTGATGCTTATTGATGCTGATGTGTCCCTAGCAGAACCACTGGAGCAAAAGCGACCAGACTTGCCTTGAGGGCGGGGGCATGGCCTTCGAGTAATACCTGAGCAGAGAGATGTAGTGTTCTGTGGGATTGGTCTTCCCATTCACCTGTGTGCCCTCATGTTGTCCAGAGTCCTGAAGAAATAGACCAGACTTTTGAGCCAGACCAACCAAAAGCTGATTCTGAGTTCTGCCATTTTCCAGTTGAGCCATCTTGGGCAAGGTACCCAGCCCTTCTGAACCTCTAGCTCTCCCCACGTGTCAAAGAGAATAATCATTACAGGTTTACATCAGATAGCACTTGGGAGGGACTCTGAATAGTATCGAGCAAATGGAAGATGTTCATGAATGCTGTTGCTAAATACTGCTTGTAACAGGGCTTTCCTGCTCAGCTTTGTCTGCGGTGCCTGATGGAGGCTGGTCTCTACTAGATACTCCATTCCGGTGTGAATGCCCAGAGCTAGGGCGGAACTAGAAGAGATAGCACAGGCTCAAGCAAGGGCTTGGGGTACTGTGACTCCACATGGGTCGTGGTGCTGGGGGCCGCTGCAGAACCATGAGGCTGGGTTTCAGCAACCACACTCTTCAGACTTTCCTACTTAGAGTGGCCAACCTTTTGCCGCTGCCATACAGTGTGGTTGCAGACAAAAATCAGGATTGGGAACTACGCAGTTGAGTTACAGGAAAAAAAAAAAAAACAAATTCCAAAAAGAAATCTGATAATATGTTAAGTACGTTTCCAGCTTTGTGCTGGGTTGGATCCCTAGCTACCCTGAGGTGTATGCAGCCCGTGGACTGTGAGTTGGAGTGGGATGGCTGAAAGGTTCCTTCACATCCCAGTTTTCCTGACCCCGCAGTTGTCATCCTTATGAGCACCTGGAGGTACAAATGGCCACTCCTTTCTGAAATGCCTCCTGGTTTCTGAATCATAAATTGAAACACCTCTGTGGGCCAAGCCGACGAGGTCATGGCCTGGTGAGCAGGCCCTGGGCCCCGTGGCCAGCTGGAACGCATGAGCCAGCCATAGTTGACACAGGACTTGGAATACTGGGCCATCTAGTCTTCCTAGAGGAGCTGAAAATTGGGGCTTATGAGGGAAATATCTTGATTGTTAAATGCTGGGAAAGTGTTCAGACTTTCTAGAAGCTCCAAAGGGCCAAACAAAATATGCACGCAGGCCAGAGAAGCTGCTGTTTGGAGGCCTTGCCTCAGGCAGTATTTCACTGAGGAATGGTTGTAGTGGCCCAGGACATTTGGTAATGTTTAGAAACGTTTGTTGTGGTCACAACTTCAGGCTAAAGGTAGGGAGTTTTCCTACGAAGAGGCAGGCAGACTCCCCATCATCCTGTTATCCATCCATAGGAATGCGTCCCAAAGAGTTGGTGGTTGTCCTAAGGAAATTTAGCCAGGATTAGCTTTTGAGGAGAAAGAGGCTGGGGACACCTGCTTCATGGTGGCTGGCCCTTGTGACTGGCTAGCCTCAGTTTACTGTCGGTATGTCAGAAAGGCAAGACTGGGATGGTTGAGCCTTCTCTGGCCCAGCCTTGCATGTGAAAGAAGTGCCTTCTACCCAATGTCCTTTGTAGGCATGAAAACAATGCAAAAAAATGTGGGGAGTGAGGCCCAATTTGTTGTCACTGGAGTCCCCAAGGTTTGGGTGTGGTGGCCTATTGAAGATCATCTTGGTTTTGGCCTCCTGTCCATGGTGGAATGTTTGGTTTGGGCTCACTACTCAGTAGTATTTGGAACTGTAATTGGGAATATTTTCCTTCCCTAACCAACTCCAGCTTTAAAAAAAATTAACAAAAATAAAGATGCTCTGAAGGCTGCCTGCCAAGCATCAACTTTGTGGCTGCTCCGGGGAGGTGCCCAGGAGTTGACCAACTGAGACCTAGTAAGGCCCATGTGGTGGCCTACAGTTCTCTTGAGGAAATGCAAGAGCATGCCTCCAGTCCCACCCCACCCCCACCCCACAGTCCATGCTCTATGCACATGTTCTTCTTCCTGAGGTATGACCCTGAGCATCCTATTCTATGACTCCAAAGCCTTCAGTGGTTCCCAGTTTCTGGCTTCTGAATGAAGTCAGAGCCTTCTCAGCCTCCATGATATGACCCTGGCTTAGGCAGAAAAGGCAGTGTTGGAGCCCTGGGTCTAGAGTGAGGATGTCGTATTCTAGGAACTGGTGATGGAAGACGAGTTTGTGTGCATTAGGATGCTCTAGCTACAGCAGGAGGAGAATGTAACTCAACATGTCTTAAACCAAAGAAGTAGATGGAGACTAGAGGCTGACGCTGAGTTTTGGGACCAGTCAGTGCTCAGAGAGCAATGATAGGAACCAGGTTCCTTTCACTCTGTCTGTCTAAGGCAGTATTCTCTTTCTGTCTTTACATGCCTGCTGGTATCAACTGGGGCTACACGGAGTTTTGCTTGCACTTGGTAGAAGGGTTCAAACATTCTCCTACAGCTGCAGATCCTGCTTCCCTGTCTAGTTAAGTCAGCCTAGACCATATCAGCACAAAGAGCAACCCACCATGTGGAATTAGGATGACGTTCCCTGGGAGAACTGGGCTGGAGGGACACATGCAGGCCAAGTGTGTGGTTCTATGAGGGAGTAGAAAGAACAGAGATGGGTGATGGGAGGGAACCCCCAATTCTTGCTGCAAGGTATAAAAGGTTGGGCAGTTGGAAAGTAGGACATAGTGATAGATTGAACTGAGGAGAAGGGATGATAAAGTCTACCAGGTAACTCTAAAGTTTTATCTTGACAGCCTTGGAAGATGTTATCCCCTACTTCAGAATCAAAGGGCTGGGAGTATGTGTCTTACTTTTGGGCAATTTGACTTTAAATGGGACAACCAGACCATTTCCGTGTGCTGACATTTGTTCTTTCATATTCCAGAGCAAAGAGATTGGCCTGCAGATGCATGAGGAGCTGCTGAAGGTGACTAATGAGCTCTACACAGTAAGTTCTGTCCAGGACCATTGCTATCTGTTTGGGTCTCTCGTCTTCATCACCCATAGCCGGAGGGAGGGAGGCAGAATTTGGAGTGATAGCAGGTCACCATGAAAGTATGTTGTGACTCATGATTCAAACTCCTGATTACTTGTGTTTGGAATGGGTCCTGAACATGTTTAGCAAGCTAAAGTGTGTGAGAGAGTAACACGATCTTCCAGATATAGGATGTGTTACTCATGAGCGCAAAAGTCTGGAGGTGGAGGATGAAGAACACAGCGTGAAGTCTCCAGAGGACAGGGATATGGACTTGGGTGTCAGGGGCCATAGGTTCCAGGCTTAATGACTGTGATCTCAGGCAGGCTCATAGCTGCCTGAGTGGAACATAGCTCCATAGAATGGAACCCGGCTCTGAGGATAGCTTGAAGTAAAATAGTGAGCATGCCTGATTGTCACCAGTGGAGAACATCACACTTTAGCCCAGAGCTGACTTTTCTGCCTGCTTTGAAGCCAAGGCCTAAGCATACTTACGATGGGTGTTAGATCTCAGGGAGGTAGGGAGTGGAGGGCAAGAACAGACGTTGGCTTCCTTAGTGAGGAGTGTGGAGAGCCCCATAGATAGCCTTTGGTACAGTGTAGGGTAGGCCCAAGAGGGAAAGTGCCGGGTAGAACTGTTATGTTTATACATTCAGGGGTTCCTTATGAGAGTCGTGATTTAATATGTGAATAAGTGCAGACTTTGTGAAGCTCTTTCTCTTTGTTATTACTATCTTCCTGTATATATACCCATGGTGGTAGCAATGGGCTCATCAGGGGCTAAGAACCTGGGCTCAGGGCCTGTACTTCAGGTGGAAGGCCCCATGTTGACCTCAGCAGCTCTAGGACCTAGGATAAGACATTTTTTTTAAACTGATGTCAAATAGGGAGAGTGTGTTCCAAATTTGTTTCAAGATAGATAGATAGATAGATAGATAGATAGATAGATAGATAGACGGGTAGGTGGATGAATAGACAGATAAACAGACAGACCTGTGATTCCCATCTACTTAGAAAGCTGAGGCAGGAGGATTATAAGTTAGAGGCCTTCCCAGGCTAAAGAGTATGGGCAAAGCCTAGACAACTTAGTAAGAAAGACCTTATCCTGTAATATATAATATATAATAATATATATGCCCTATAATACATAAAATATAATAATAAAAAAGTAAATATAGGCCTGGGTGTGTATCTCAGTAATAGAGCTTTTACCCAGCATGTTCAGGGCCCCAGGTTCACCCTAATAGCACAGAGAAAAGAGGTAAAGAGAAGGCAGACACTCTGAAGTCAGAATCTGGGTCAAATCTTGTTTCCAGCTGGAAAGAACAGTGAAATCCTCCCACAGTCTTTGTAGCCTCATAGACACAGGAGCTCTGCTGATGCTCAGGCCTCTGTATAAAGTGGTGTCATGTCACACATCCTCCCAGGTACTTTAAGCCATTCCTAAACTGCCTACTACTGTAAATACAGCATCAGCGCCATGCAGACAATTATTACGCGGTGTTGTTTAGTGATGAGAAAAAGTTTGTTCATGCTTGGTATAGATAAAATTTTCTTTCCTAAATATTTTCAACCTGCAGTTGGTTGACTCCACAGATGTGGCGAGCACAGCTATAGAGGACCGAGTGCCCTGAGGGTGCACACATAAAAAGCACTGTTAGCGCAAAGGGTAATGTGCTAGAGAGGCTATGAGCCATTCATCATGACTGTCATAATTTTGTTACCTTCAACGGGTGTGGTAGGCTGTTGTCTGTACTCACGGGAGTGGGGTCGGTGCATGTGTAGGGTTGGTGAATGAATAGATTGTGTAGCTCAGAATTCTGGAGAGGATAGCCCCACGCTGGTCATTACCCAGGCTAGGTCCTTCCTCTGCTCCTTCAGTCCCTCTGTGAATGGAGTACTTACTCTACAGCAGCCCTGCAGCATTGCTCTAGGCACAGAACCTCAGTGCTCCTGCCTGGGTCTCTAACCTTCCCTCCATCCGCCAGCCGGAAACCTCATTCTGGCTAGCTGTTCTTGTTCACTTTCTGTCACTGTGATAAAACAACTTGACCAAAAACAACTCAGGGAGAAATAAGTTTACTTGGCTTCTACTTCCAGGTCACAATCTGTGATTAGGGGAGGTCAGGGTGGAAACTCAAGGTAGGAGCTCGAAATGGAAACTGTGGAGAACCTCTGTCTACTGCCTTGTTCTCCAGATCGCTTGCTTTCTCATACAGCCCAGGCCCACGTGCCTAGGGAATAGCGCTGCCTACAGTGGGCTGGGCTGGGCCCTCCCACATCAACCACCAAGCAAGACACTCTCACAGACAAACCCAGACGCCAGTCTTCTGTTCTTCAACCAAGGTTCCCTCTTCCCAGGTGACTCTCGGTTATGGTCAGCTGACAATAAAAACTAACCAGGAGAGCTGTTTATCCTCATCCCCAATACCTTTCTTCACCACCATAGTTTCCCTCGCCTGCTGTAGCCTGTGTGCTTTTATCCTCTGAGTCCTGTTGCAGCCATATAAAAACCTCATGTCTTCATTGTCTGCGCTGCTCCTGTCGTAGAGTGATTTCTCTGGAGTCAGGTCTTGGCTGATGAGTGATACCGCACTAGATACCCAAAGACCATGTGGCATTGACAACGTTACTTCATCTCTCAGTTTTGTCTCGGAAAACGGGGGCTTATCCTTTTCCTCTGGTTTATGGGTTCCATAGTACCAAGTGATGTCAAAGATTGAAAGGATAATGCCATCTCGTGTCCCTCATAGTGCCCTGAACTCAACAAGTTCTGTGTATCTAGCTGCCCATTCTGTCCACAGGTTAGGGCAGCTGGACAGAAACACTATTGGCAGCAGACATGCACATAGGTAGTTTCTCACACCGTAACAAGCCTCTTACTGCCATGCTGTGCTCATGGTGGCCTGCTAGTGATACTCCAGGAGCTGGGAGAGGGGAAGGGCCCAGTGCCTCCCAGCTCTCTCTTCTTTTGGTGTGTGTGTGAAGGAGAGGGGGCCTCAGGTACCAACATTAAATATTCCATATTGCCAACTGCGGCCCTCTGTGTCCATAGGTCCCCAATCAGTGACTCTGAAATACCTCCAAAAGCTCATTTGCTACAGGCTTGATGCACCAATGCAGCTTTATTTGATGACAATATTGGGAGGTAGGAAAGCTGGGGCCTGATTGAAGGAAGTAGGACACTGTGGACACATCCTTAAAAGGTGTCTTGTCCCTGAACCCTTCATGTCTCTCTGCTTCCTGGTTGCTATGAGGTGAGCCACTCCGGTTTGACCCACAGTCTTGACTCACAATGCTCTGTATCACCATGAGCTTACAGTAGAGGAGTCAGCTGAGCATAGACTGGAAACTCTGAAACCATGGACCAAAATTAATCTTTCCTCCTTTAATTTCTCTCAAGTGTTGCCATGGTGACAAAAAGCCAACTAACATACATAGGTTCAATCAACCTTGGGTCAAAAATGGTTTTTTAAATACTGTATGTTACCAACACACGAGGATATCTTGTTATTTCCTAAGCATCACAACACAGTGCAATGCCCATTTATACAACGAAACGTTGTTCGGTACTGTGAGGGCTCTCAAGATGATCTGAAAGTAGGGAGAGGGGTGTGTAGGTTCTTTACAATCACTGCACCGTTCATATAAGGGATCTGAACAATCATGGAATTTAATATCTGGATCTGTGTGAAGTGGTGTCCTGAAACCATCACCATAGGTACTGAGGGATGACCACAGTTACTTAGAAGTACAGTTTAATTCCTAAATTCAGGGTTTCCCGCTGTGGTACCGGAGAATCTTTGCTGTCCGGGAACTGGGAACATTTTAGAGTTGGTCTCTATCAGCCCCTTTCCCATCCTTGATGCTCCCGTGGCTCTGACTGGAACAAAGGGATGAGGAAGTGGTGTGTAGACAGTGAAGGTGAAGGGTTTTTGCCTCAAGGAGTGTTAGATTTGAGCGTGCAGACAAGGATAAAGTGCATGTGTGCTGGTGACAGAACATGAAGCCGAATGTGCTGCTTGCTCACTGTTTCTCTTAAAAATTGCTTCCAAACTCAACGGCTTCAAACCTACCATGTTGCTTGCTTATGAGTCTCTGGATTGATGATTTGTGCTGGGTTCAATTGTAGCCAGTTATGTGGTGGCGGTCTTCCAGATGATTAAGATAAAGGAACCCAAAGAGAGTGGACAAATTTCTGCTAGTAACCGCTTTTGCTAATACCCAAAGCAAGTTACATTTAGGCCCCAGGTCATGAGATAGAAAAGTAGACTCCCTGTTTTTCTGTAGCCCCAGGTGCTAAAAGCCATGCCTGAGCAATGTCTAGCTGTCAGTCACAGCTACCCAGCTTCTGGGAGCATTACGGACTTCCTGGACTTCACTGCTAGAAGTTTCTTCTTAATATCCGGGTAACACACATCTTCCCAGCTCCCTTTGTTCCCCAGCCGTAGTCTCACAGGCGTAGTAACTAAGGAATGAATGCGGTAGAGAAAAACTATGCAGTCAACCCCATTCTTTTCCTTCTCAATGCTCAGTGGAAGTTGTCTGCTTAGGGGCCCTGCCGAGGGCAATGATGATGGCGATCAATTCTACCCTTGGTCTGCCAAGCCCTTCTCTTCTCCGAGCTCCCATCAGCCCCCCACATTATAGTCTTTGATCACATATTGACTCGAAAGGAAAGAACACAGGGTGAGATTGTAGACTATGGTGCTGTCCTTCCAAGGAAACGAAAACAAACCAAAACAACAAACGTCAGCTAAAATTATGTTTAGGGTTTCACTGTATTTCTAGGTCATGAGATCCAGCTGTTGTTTGGTAACTGATTGGTACCCTGGATAGGCCTCTTCAGCCCCTCCCTTGTGCCCAGTCGCTCTGCTCTGGCTGCCTGAGGAACGTTGTTTCTTTGTTGAGAGGAAAATGGAGAGGACTTCAGGTGTCCACACCGAGCAGCAGCTGATGACTGAAGATACTAA